AAAACCTCCTCGAGAGAGTGATAAAATTTCGGGCAGGGAACCGTCTGGACTACTGGCCAGGAAAAAACGAGTTATTACAAATGCTGGTGCCATTACGTCCACATTTCCTTCTAGCTGTACCACATGCATCTCTTTGACATACAGTGTCATTTGCTCAAGTAACAACAAAGAAACTGGCCCTCAATGGCCAAGGAGACTCTTTATGAACAAGCAATGCCAATAATGTCAAGAAGAGACGGTTGTTTCCCCACAGTGTAGCGGTAAATCTCACGTTTCAAGGTTGGAAAACATGTGAGGAACACCGTCCTGAATGCCCCTGCTTCACTCATTTCTCACTTCCTCTATGCCACTGTTGCACAGATGACTGGTTTGGTGAGTTTGGTTGACTGCTCGGGTCCTCCTGCAGGAGTTCCTTAGTGTATTTGTGTTTTTCAATGCACTCTCGGCTCATGAAAGGTGAAAAAAGGAGGGGGGTTCCAGTATCCGATCAGCTACGCCCACCCTTCCCACCCTTGATTTCGCCCCTATATTGGTATCCAGCAACTGAATACATTTCACCCCCCTCCCCCCTCCACATCTTGCCCCGAACGTAATAATTAAAAAAAGGTAAAAACAAGGTCTACTGCGGAATGGCTTTACTCCTCACAGTCAGTAGGGTATGCCAGAACCCCTGTGAACTATTGAGGTGCGGTTGGCGTTCTTGTGGCTGGTCCGTCGAGTCTGGGTGTTCTTGGCGGCCGGGGGGCTCCGAGCGATGGGCGAGGCCCTCCCCCTGGGGCCCTTTCGCTTCCCCCTAGGCCCTGCACGGCCTTCACTAATGAGCTGATGAGTTGAATCGGTGTGTTTGAATAGGGAGACATCTAAAATGTGCAGTGTTGAGGGTTCTCCAGGACCAGGATTGGGACCCACTGTTTTTGTGCACTTCAGTGTCTAGATCAGGGGTGTCCAAACCTGTTCCTTGAGGTTCCTGCAGGGTTTAGCTCCAACCCTAATTAAACACACCTGAACCAGCTAATCAAGGTTTTCAGACTCACTAAAACTTCCAGGCAAGTGTGTTAGAGCTGGGTGGAGCTAAAATCTGAAGGACGGTGGCCCTCCAGGAGCGTGTAGAGTGAGTCGACACTGAGTTAACAGGAGTCCGAAAGACCACAAGCTGGAACTCGAACTCGGCCATCATCATTGTTTTCATTTTGTCACGCATTTCCTAGCTATGAGGTGCATGTTTCTGCATGATTTTGCTTTCAGAATGACTTGAAAAGTCTGATCCACTGTCGTTTAGTGTATGATGCCCAGTTTTTTTCTGCAACCATTTCAGTCAGCAAGGGTATCATACATACGCTGCATGGGGTAAATCTGATGGGATAAATTGCCTCCGAAGGACACTTAGGAGCGTGAACAATCATGGCCACCATAATGAAGGGTTTCTCCAAACTGAAGTGCTCAAAACTGGTCACTTCAAAGGTCCCTTGAGAATGAAGTATTTCGAAAGGTACAACTAAAGGACACTGCCCTCCCATTATTCCCATTTACGCAGGTTAACTGTTCAACAATAGCACCTCCTTAATTGACTTTTCAAGACAATGCAGAAGTGTGTTCTGAAGAACAGCTTTTTGGTCCCCTACACCCTTCAAAGCTCCTACTCTAGAGGGTAAACCCTACGCAGGGATTAAGGCATCGGGATGAGCCCTTCAGAATAAGAAAGCAGTGCTAGTGAATTTAAAAGTCGTGCATTCCAGACTTAACTATTGTCTTTCACCTTACAGTTCTAAAGTGCTACCTACATAGTCAACCCAACGTGACATAGTTGCGCTCTCCACACGAAAACTGTACCTAAAAGCAGGCATGGAAATTATGCTTCTATATAGAATACCTTGTTTTGGCTGAAATTGTTCTACCAAAATATATATTTTAATATAATTAAATACAGCAAAACATATACAGCAATTGTTTATCGAGTACCGAAAAGCAATAACAGTAGTTCCAGGTAATTAAAATGAACTAATTCATCCAATATTTGTGCTGACGAGAGTAGAGTCATTAGCTTAGCAACATGCTAACATTAGAATTTTTTGGAACGGTGAGTTCTAGTTGAATATTTTGTGGTCTGTTTTTTTTTTTGGTGAGGATGTTTTATTAAGTCCAAAGTACACCTCAGTTTTGATGCGAATGCTTAGTGTATAGGTGCACTGGAACACATAATTATTATGTACTCCATTTGACAGCATGCGCAAACACAGGCGCTTGACATGCTCACTGGAAAGTTTCCAGTGTCTGTGCTATTTCTCTCCTGAAGTTCTGACCAATAAAAGTATCTTTGTACTCATTTAAACTAGAGTTCGGTCTAATGCGTTTCTTTTTTGACTATGAAACACGGGCTGGGTAAGTGTCGCCACCTATTATCTCTGTACTATGTTGATGATAAAATTTACATTGCGCATACTGTAAGCATACTCTGGTGTTTGCGTTAAAAACCAAGTACACATTGAGCTTTAGAAGGTAGCTGCCTATGTAGACAGTGAAAAGTGCCTATAGGGCTTCACATAAGAACCTAAACCTCAAAGCATTTGATACGGTTTCAGAGTAGTTTCCATTGTGCAGTGGCTCTTTTCTGACCAAGCTTAAATGGGTTATTTTGGGCTGTGACAGCCTAATGTGGCAGCACACTTAAGCTCATGTTGCTCGAGGGACATATTCCCTGCTGTTAGTAAGTTGTCAGTTGCTTTGGATTAAAAGCATGCTCTAAATGGCAAGCTACCAAAACTTGATTGTGGAAAATGTGCACTGTCTAACATCCTCTTGGTTCAATTTAAACAAATCTCTCGGTTGCATCCAATGCCATTTGCAGTATCAGAATATAGCTTGTCTACACTCAGCATCAACTGAAGTAATTACAATAATGACGTTTTGAGCCCTATATAGCTAATCGCATTTACACACACACTGACTCATTATTTCAGAAATTGTGTATGTAACATAGTTGTATACAACTTTTTTCTCCAGAACTAGAAATGAGGAAAATCCCTGATGGCCTGTTTCAAAGATCAGTGTTTATCCTATAAGGCAATGGTTCTCAAGTGGTGGACTGTGTCATCTGTTGTAATAGGGTCATGGACAGCAGAGTAAAACGGGACTATAAGGGCCAGTAAACACAATGTCCGATGGCTTGTAGCAACCAATCAAGCCTAACAAAGTCATTAGAGTGAGAAAGGGCAAATAAATGTGGTTCTGCGTGATTATCTGTATTAATTCACACAGAGTACTGCTGGTGCTGAGTGATTGGTTGCTTGGAATTTCTTAAATTAAACTTTATTATGGAACATTTGCATTCAGGTTTTGATGATGTGGGCTAAAACTGCAAGTTAAAGGGATATGTTCAAATGTCAAGTTCCGTCATCAATTACTCCCACTCATGTCGTTCCATGTCATCTTCAAAACACAAATGAAGAAATCTTAACGAAACCTGAAAGATTTCTGTCTCTACATTAAAAGTCCATTCCACAAAAACATAGATGCTTCAAATAGATCATAAAGAGAATCAGACAATTAATCTATATGAATCAAGCAGTTTGATCACTACATATGGTAAGCAGATTTACTATAAACTTTTATTCATATAAAAACACTGATCACAAAAATAGTGCATTAAATATATAGTGCATTAAATATATGCTCAAACTTGCTTGCTTTTGTTCTTATTATGTGTCACACAAGCATAGGCGTAATTTGCAGGTGGGACAGGTGGGACATGTCCCCACCACTTTTTGCCAGAGTCGATATTGTCCCTACCACTTTTTGAAAGTAATTGAAAAATATATTGCGGAAGGTATGTATTAAAGGGAAAACAAGAGCAACAAATCATTCTTCATAATCTAATTAGGGTGATAAAAAAAAAACACATTTGACTCCTTACGCATGCATAACTCGTGCAGTGCAATAACGACGCGATTTGCAACTGTCGCACTTTTCGTAATGTCATTAGGCTATAGCATTTTATTAAAAAAATGGAGAGCTTCCTTGTGCTAAGTAGGCCTGCCCTCTACTAAAGATTTTTCTAGTCAACTAGTCGCACGTTATATTAAATTGATTAATATAATAATATATTAACCATACTTCAATATAGGCTATAGGCAGACGTATTAGGCTAGAGCCTATTCCGCGCTCAAGCTCGCGCATAAAGCAAAGTGATTATGAACGTGTCGGGGGAAAAGAAGACATTTTAATTATTTATTAATAAACTAGTGCTTTCTGAGTCAGTGTCGGGGGCAAAGATGAGGTCTTCAAGCCAGTCACGTGACTGAAAACTATGAATTGGTTGCCTTGTGTTTTTTTAAATATTATTTTAAACTTGCTTGTCTTTTGTAATATTCACTTTTGTTGTATGCTTATGTGAATATCACAAAATAACAACAAAATTCAAATCACAAATAATACTACTGATGAAAAAGAACGGGTTGAATGTTAACTACTTTCGTTTCCATATAACTATAAACTACGATAAAAGTTCATCAGCATGTATTGATTAATAGCATGTTGTAGGCATAAAAAAAAAAAAACGTGCTCCTGCAAACAACTGAGAAAGTTCATTGCAGAAGAGCGACCAGTGGGAAGAATGAGTCTGGAGCCCTGAATTGCCCAGCTCCCTCTGTCAATGATCTAGCACCCCCTCAGCACCTGCATTCAAAATTCTCTGGCGCCGCCCCTGGTACATCGATGTATTTTTGAAAAACTAAAATTAAGTTTGTCCAACTCTAAACCCAGTCCCCAAGTAAATTAGGTTATTAAATAAAAAACTAGCAAAAGAGTTGCGAGGTGTCCCCACCACTTTTCAAAGCAAAGTTACGCCACTGCACACAAGTATGTTTGAGCTTGTAAACCATATTTGCTGTGCTCTATGTATGTGATCAATGTTTATATGCGAATAAAAGCTTAAATGAAATCTGTTAAATAATAAAGCAGTCGTATCTTCAGAAGACTTGGATTAAACCACTTGATTTATATGGATGACTTTTACAATTTCTTTGTGAACTTTGTGGAGCGTCCAAATTTTGGTGGAACTGACTTTGAATGGAGGGACAGAAATCTCTCATGATATCATGAGTTTCAAAGATGATGCATGTCTTATGGGTTTGAAATGACATGAGGGTGAATAATTGGTGCCTAAATTACATTTTTCGGTGAACTATCCCTTTAAAGATCACTTTTACAACAAGCTTGAAACAACTTCTGACATGAAATGCAGAAACATTTTGATGTTTGTTGATTTTATGCAGCAAATCTAAATCTGTGCTTTACCCCTGATCCACAGTAGCGGCCTAGTCTGGGTGATTTGGTGTCCGCCCCATCAAACAGCTCCATGTAATCATAGCCACAGTCGGCCTCCTCCTCGATCTCGAAGGTCTGGAAGATGAGCTCCACGCCGTAGCCCTTCTCTGCTGTGATCACCCACTGACAGTCGGACGCCCCGGGGTAGTTATTATCACCAAACTGGGCATGAGAGTAGAGGTCTTTAGTTTTCACCTCCGCTTTCAGACGGCCTCCGCACTCTGGAGAAGAGAAGAAAATGAACACCGGCGCATTCAGCATCTCAGCATATCACTGCAAGTCAATAGTCTCTTGTAGCCAGAAGTGTGACTGAGACTAGCACTGAATGATATACAGGTGCATCTCAATAAATTAGAATGTCGTGGAAAAGTTCATTTATTTCAGTAATTCAACTCAAATTGTGAAAATCGTGCATTAAATAAATTCAATGCACACAGACTGAAGTAGGTTAAGTCTTTGGTCCTTTTAATTGTGATGATTTTGGCTCACATTTAACAAAAACCCACCAACTCACTATCTCAACAAATTAGAATACTCCATAAGACCAATAAAAAAAACATTTTTAGTGAATTGTTGGCCTTCTGGAAAGTATGTTCATTTACTGTACATGTACTCAATACTTGGTAGGGGCTCCTCTTGCTTTAATTTATTTAATACACGAGTTTCACAATTTGAGTTGAATTACTGAAATAAATGAACTTTTCCACGACATTCTAATTTATTGAGATGCACCTGTAAACATCAGAGAGTTGCTGTAGCTTACTTACATGCTATACATTTGGGATTCTCAAACTTTTATGTCAGCTGAACCCCTCTGACTTAAATATTAGTAACACCTACATTTTAGGTTAATAATTCAATAATTTAACAAGACATCCACATGTTCAAGGTTCTCTAATGTTGGTTAATAGTCAAAATTGGGTAAACCCAATTGGGTAAAACTCTGCATTAATATAAGGTAAAATATAAAATGTATAGGCCTATCTCTAAAATATAATGTATGAATATATTAAATATATATTGAATATGAAATGTGATTTTTTTTTTACAAATCTGAACTGGTTTATATAACCATCATAAACCATTCAAGCCATGTTGTCATTATTTATTGAACTTTGGTGTCATATTTAAAAAGCAATAAGCCATTTGAACCATGTGCATCAGGGATTTTACCATGGCCTGTTGTTAATGACACAAAGTGGAGCACTGCATGATCTCTTATAGCTTATTGTTTTATAAGGTTGTATTATATGAGACTACATGTAATTCCAGTATTTAGTGGTACTGTATATTTCATTCAGATGGATGTACTCACCTGCAGTGTGGGAAGCCTCGAAGCCTTTCTTCTGCACTGAGTTATCAGAGAAGAAGCGGATGAACATCTTGTTGCCGGTGGATATGATCGGTTGAGGTTTCTTGGTGCCGCAGTAGCGTCCAAGGCTTAGTGCTTTCCCATCCCGACCGTCGTAAATCTCAATGTGGTCATAAGCACATTCCAGATGAGGCTCCATGTCGATTTCATTGAAAGCCTGAAATATACAGTTGAACAAAGTTTGAACGGTAGACACTCAATATACCATTACAATGAACCGGGAAACAAGACTGCTTATGAAATTGAGTGACAAGCTCTGTTCCAAATGGTAGTGAGCTGCTTCACTGTCTATATAGACAGCTATCTTCTAAGTGGCCGTTCACAAAGAATGCGTTTTTGGGTTTAACCCTTAAATGCATACCTCGGGTCTTTAGCGACCCGGGACATCATTCTCTACCCTCTCCCTCCTTCATTTTTTAAAGTTAGACATCAACTTTCTTAGTATTCCTCAATCTATTCATTATAAACAATATAACAAGAAAAAAAAAGTAAAATATAAAAGAATGCCTGTTTTCTGATACATTTTTTGTAAAAAGTGTATAGGGTCGCTAGAGACCCGAGGTATGTAAATGTGTAAGTATTTTTTCCTGCACAACTATATTTACATATCTGATGACTCAATGTTTTCTGATTAATTTTTTGTAAAAAGTGTATAGGGTCGCTACAGACCCGAGGTATGTAAATGTGTAAGTTTTTTTTTTCCTGCGCTACTATATTTGCATATTTGATGACCTAATTTGTGCAATGCATCTTTTTTCCTCAAGGTGGCACTGTTTGATACACAATAATGACGTGACGTTTCACTCATAATTACCGCAGGCATAAAACAAACGAATATCATCAGCAAAAACTGAACTGGTTTGAATGGCTTTACTGCAGAGCAATTACTATACGCAATGAATCTTTTGTAATTGTTCTTAAAATATCAAGATCATTTTTTTGCTATTGCAGCAGTTAGAGGTCCATCCGTGCTGGATATATAGGACCAGGTCGCTAAAGACCCAAATATGTAATAATGATTGGCAAACATTCATGCATTTAAGGGTTAAAAACATGAGACAGAGTGCCGTGGGATTTTTAAAAAAAAAAGAAAAATTTAAAATTTGAAATGATGTGTTTTTAGGATGGTGTATCACGCATGAGATGATGCATCGAACACGTCCATTTAGTGCATGTTCAGATAGAAAAACAATGGAAAAGCAGCAAAGTGGAAGGCAAAAATGCGTGGTGTGAACGACCCCTAAAGGGCCATTCACACAGAACTTGTTTTTGCATTTTATTTACTCACCCTTAACTTGTTCCAAACCTGTATGTTTTTTTCTTCTGTTGAGCACAAACAAAGATATTTTGAAGAATGTTGGTAAGCAAACCAAACAGTGGACGATATCCATTGACTTCCACAGTATGGAAAAAATACTGTGGAAGTCAATGGCTACCGTCAACTGTTTGCTTACCAATATTCTTCAAAATATCTTCTTTTGTGCTCAACAGAAGAAAGAATTCATACAGGTTTGGAACGACTTGAGAGGAGTAAATGATGACAGAATTTTCATTTTGGGTGAACTATCCCTTTAAATTCTGCCTACGTAGGCAGCACACTAGGTTTTGGAACAGAGCAATAGTGCTATCAGTACTTAGTCGTTATCTAGTCTATATATTGAGGAAGACACAGGATATTAAACAATATGTGTGCACAAACATGCACACGATTTTTCATTCATTGCTCCCAGGGATACTTGGACCTGATTGGTCAATTGCAGCATTCTGCAGTCAGATGTTCTTGTATAATTATGCTATGTTGTATAAATGTGCCAAACAACCTAATTTCCTACATAGCTGTGCTAGTTTCATGCCTCATACCAATCCACAGACTTTTTCTTCTTTAAATAAAATTATTTAAAATTATTAATTTTATTAATAATTAATAAATAATTTTATTAATTATTAATAAAAATTAAAATTAAAATGTATTTGTTAATAGCCATGTAATAAGTGAATAATGTGTCAGCTGGTCTTTATCACAAAATAAACCGTTTCAGGGTGATGCAAGGTCCTCCTGCTTCACGCTGGGGTCAAGCTCACTCTGCAGGGTTTTGTTTTGAACGAATGACCGTCTGGGCTGTACATTACCCAACTATGGTAAATAAGGATGGAGAGAGGTTGTGCTATTACATACTATTTTGATCCGATGTCCCGGGGTGGTGGAGAGGGCCCAGGTGCAGGCCTTCTTACTGGGGTATTTATCTGGCCAGTTGGGGCTGGTGATGGTCCCACTCACGCTGTTCACAACGTGATCACAGCCAGCTGTAAGAGATACCAATTACACGTGACATCCAACACTCGAATACACACACAAACAGCCTCATCCTCTCGCTCATCATATGAGCAACGTTCAAACTCCAGACAACGAGAATCAGTGTTGTTTTTGGCGCACAGATCCATGCATTTCCGAACCTCCTCAGACAACTTTTTTCTTTCTTTTCTCCCAAGCACTGCCACTCTCTTTCTATTCCTGCCCGCAAGAGGAAGGCGTTCTCTAAAAATATCCAGACGCTAGTTAGTGTCAGTGAGCTGAAATCCATGGTGAAGGTTTCCGAGCAGTAGTGCGTTAATATGGAAAATAAAACAACCAGACTGCTGTTGACCACACATCTATTATCTATTATAGTGCTTATTTGTTCTTTTTGAATCTTAATAGCTGTGATCACCTTGAATGATCATTTTATGGAAAAGAGCAGCATGAACATTCTTCATTATATCTCATTTTGTGTTTCACAGAAGAGAAATGGCATACAGGTTTAGAACAACATGAGGGTGGGAAAGTGCTGAAAATATTCATTTTTGGATGAACTATCCCTTTGGTAATGACATATTTCATCACTTGAACATTGGTATATTGTATCATATTGCTACCATTTTTGTTTTAAGAGAGTTTACATGGCCTATCATGACTTATTGCTTCAAAGGAACACTGTCTCGGTGTATATTCACATATACTGTAAGCATGTGTTTCTCACCTTCCTTGCAGTCATGTTTGTTCTCATGCAGAACGAAGCCACTTCTGCACTGACAACTGTAGCTGCCAAAGGTGTTCACACATTCATGCTGACATCCGCCGTTCTCCTTAGAGCACTCGTCTTTATCTGTGAGAACAAAACACCAGATGTCAGTCAAACACACTCAGGATTTTTTATTTTATTTATTTATTTATTTATTGTCCCCTAGGATGATAATATATATATATATATATATATATATAATATATAATAAGAATCATAGAAAATCATTCTACTTT